GAGGGCAGTGTCACTGGCCCTCATGTGGGATCCGAACCAGGGCCCTGCTGCTCAGAGCTGGTGTCCCAAGCCAGCTCTTAACCAATGCGCCACTCAGCTGGCCCAAGCTCCTATTTCTTCATTTGGCTCTCTCAACACCTGGCTGCCCTCCAGGCAGTGGTAGGTGGAAAGAACATGGAGCATGGAATGTTCATCCATCTATCACCCCGTGGAATCCCCCATCCTTGATTCAGATCCTGAACCCTGTCATTTTTTTGTCTTGTCCTTGGGCGAGTCACGTGACCTTTCCGAAACCCTGTTTCCTCCACTGTGAAGTAGAAAAATCCATACCCAATAGAGAGGTGATGAGGTAAATGTTTGGGAAGGCTCCAAGCAGAAGTCCTGGCATTCAGGGGACGCTTTAAAAATCACACTGTTCTCCATTCTTTCAAAAATCTTTCTCTTATTCTTTTGGCTGTTTTTGGAAAGTTGACTTACCCTGCTTTTTGCCTGATAGCTCGCATTGATGTAGTACACCTGTGCCTGGATGCATGAAAGAACACAGGGAAACGATTTGGAGATTTCTGGAGTCTGTGTATGAGCCTCACCTTTGTTCTCTCCTTGGGGAGCAGGTTTTGGGGAGATGTGTTGAAACTGAACCTGCCACCTCATCGCTGCCACGTCTCTCCACAGGTCCTGCTTCTCAGAAGATGCACTATTATAGATACTCTAATGCTGAGGTCAGCTGCTGGTACAAGTACTTCCTCTTCAGTTACAACATCATCTTCTGGGTGAGTGCATGAGAGTGGCTGCATTCCCTTGCTCAGTCCTTTATTTAGAAAGTCATGATGCTTCACATACTTTTGACTTGCCAGGCCCCCTGAGGCTCTGGATGGGCTGGTGGGCCAGGTTGATAAACCCTGCCTTAGCAACAAGTAAATTATGAATGGACCCTTACGTGCTGTGATGGGGAAGGGAAATTGAGAACCAGACTCAGGGGCTCCTACCGTAGCCTGGGGGGTTCAGGAAGGCTTGGGTCTCTGGCCTAGATGTGTATCTGTGGCCTCCAGCCCTGCCCCCGTCACGCCCCAACGTCACATCACATCGCTGCAGAGTATTTTGTGTGCTTCTGCCTGTGGGCCAAGGCCCCCTTCTAGGCTCTGGGAGATAAGACTGGACAAGGGTGGTAAAGCCCTGCCCTGTGGTGCTTGTGTTTAACCCAAAGTGCCCTTAGCCTACAGAGCAAGGAGGAGGAAGCTACTTTTTACACTGACTCTTGCTAAGTTATACGTTGGATGGTGTGATCTGATTGGAATGATTCTTTAGAGTGAGGGGATGAATGCTGGTACCATGTCCTGAGCTGGAATTTGAGGGCAGAAGGGCTTGAAACCAATGGTCTCTTAGCCAGCTACATAAAGATGTTGGTTTTCTGTGTCAGTGACCATCCTGGAGATGAAAGTCTTGACTGCTATCAGAGGAAGGGGTGGCCTTGATGAGGTCATTGAGGGCGAGCACTTTGACGAGAACAGGAGGAGAGGTCTGGATATTGAGCCTGGGATGCTGGAGGAGGGGTTGAGGAGGAGGGTCCGCTCCAAAGTAGGCTGGGAGTGAGCGGCTGGAGGTAAAAGGAAGACGAGGAAGCCTTCCAGGTAGAAAGGAGCAGTCAGCTGTACCACAGGGAGGAGAAGTCGGACGAGGACAGAATCTGGTCATTGGCTTTGACAAGGTAGAGGTTGTTGGTGACCTTGACCAGAACTGTGTGCTCTGGGGGGGGGTCCGAAACCCACCTGTGGTTGTCTGAGGAGCCAGTGAGACATGAGGAAATGGAGACTGGTGACTCGCCACAGTTCTTTCAAGGACTCTTGCCTTAAAGAGGAGCAGAACAATTGGGCACTGGCTGGAGATGGTCCAGGGGTTAAGAGATATATAGCATGTGTGTGTTGCCATTGGGATTGGTCCAGGGAGAGGCAGACATTGATTCTGCACAGGAGGACATGATCGTGTACAAAGGCTTTTAAAACCATTAAGTGAGCATCATTTATCAGTGTCTTGTGTGTGTGTGGGGGGGTGGGGGCAGACAGAAGGAGGGACAGAATAAATGGCCTATACATTCGGCCTCTACTGCAGATTTTGGCATTTCCTAGTTGGACTGGAAGGTTTTTTTTCCTTTACATTTACTTTTAATTATAGTTGACATTCAATATCATATTAGTTTCAGGTATACAACATAGTGATTCTACATTTATGTACCTTATGAAGTGATCACCACAGTAAATCTAGTAACCATCTGTCACTGTACATAGGTATTAGTGTTACCAGAGAGCAGGCCCTCCTTGGCGCAGTGTCCAGGTTCTTGGCATCTCGAGCAAAGAATTGAATGAGACACAGAAGTAAAGTGGTGAAAGAGCAGTTTATTTGAAGAGATAGTACATTTCAAAGAAATAGAAGCGGACCCGAACAGTAGAGGATGGCTCAAGGGCCCATTATTAGAAGAGAAATTACACTCCAAAGAGTTTGGAGCTGGCCGAGCAAAAGGGAGCTCAAAAGGTGCTGACTAGCCAGGACTTGGAGTTTTTAATCCTTTTTCTCTAGAATGGGCTGGCTGTTCCTCTCTGGGCATGGGACCACTTGATTGACAGCTGTGATTGACGAGGTTATTACCTCATCTTTTTAGACTGCAGGTGTGAGTGACTGGACCAGTCGGGTATTTTGTACCCATTTGTTTCCCCATAGGGGTAGATAATTACAATGAAAAGGGGAAGTTTTGGGCGGAGAGGGGAGGTCTTTGGGGCAGTCACATTCTGTGGGTTGTGTTGGACGTGCAGGAATGCAGAGACCCAATGCCTGCCTCTAACTGCCTGCCTTGTTTTCCCCTTGAGAGATGTGATCCCCATAAAATCTCTCTATGTGAAATTGAGGGACAGGAGGTCTTTTCTTCTGTATCTGCTTCCTGCTGGACAGGGGTGTAGAGCTGTCCCTGCCTATTGGGGGATTCACAGAACTCTCACCCTAGCTGATCTCAGATGAGAGGAAGGGGTTTAGAGATCTGCCTGGACGAGGAAGACCGAGTTGGCTTCTTTGGCTTCAGTCTTGCTGGGGTACCCTCTGTATCCCCAAGGTCCCTGAATGAGGAAAAATAGATTTTAATTAATAAATCTGTTAGTCTTAAGGAGCCTGTGGCCAGTCAGCCGGTCATTCAAGGGGCGTCAGTTGTCCAGGAGCTGGGCCCAGAATGGGTTTGGAAAGAATCATTAGACTTACTGGCCTGGGGAAATGTTAAAACCTATTTCATCTCTGGGAGGGAATTGTCTAAGAGTTAGGTCCGGAATAACTTGGGGGATGTTGGGAAGCTACAGGCGTTTAAGTAGTTATGGGAAGCAGGGGTAGGAGATTTTTATGATTCAGATTAAAAACAATCTATTGTTTATGATTAAGAAACTGATTTACAAAACAATCAAGAAGCAGGGGGATAGGAGACTTATATGATTCAGGCTAGGAGCAATCTTTAGTCCAGGATTCAGAAACTGATTAGAAGAGTAATCAAAGCCAGGGGCTAAGGAACTAAGAAACTAGGGAGGAGACTTAACATTTCTATAGGAAAGAAAACTTACAAGTTTTTCAGTGGAGGGGTGGGCTCCTTGCTTGGCCCATAACATTAGGACTGGAACTCTTGAAAACCCTCCACCCTTGATTACAGGGCATCAATCTCTTGAGCATTTATCTGAAAGTTTTGGGGGTTATGTGTCCTGGAGAAAGAGGGTGGGACTCAATGCTTGGCCATTTATCCCAGGTCTTTGCCTGTGCTTAGCCTGCTGTCCACCAACCTCATCATGGCCTCTGAGGTAGGACAGTGCTGGCCATTGGATGTCGTTCCTGTGGGACCCTCCTAATGGGAGGACTGGCTGTCCCAGCCTTGAGAGGTATGGCTTCCCAGCCTGCGTTGCTCCCTGTCTGCAGGAGAGCCCTTGGGCTCCACCTGGAGTCCCACCCCCAGCCATGTGTACAGGGGAGGCCACCTGGCCTAGGCAGGCAGCCTCACGCTTTGGACGCCGTTCACCCAGCTGTCGTCCTCGCCGCCGGCTGTGCTTGCTTGACCTTGTGCCTTGACCTCTGACTCTCATCCTGATTTCTGCAGCTACAGTGCAACTTTTTTATTGCTGCTGCGGCCGCTGAGGGCCCTGTGACTCTGGTCTCAGAGGCTTTCCAGAACAGTCTTAGCTTTTGGGAAGCTTTACTCACTTGGCAGATAATACGAAATTCAACTAGTGGAGCTCACGAATCCAGAATTGTAGCAGTCTGTTTGGTGATGGAAGGGTGCTGCGGCACTATCGGAGTTTTGCAGAATTGGCAGTGCCTGTGGTTGAGAGTTAATCATTTTCCAGTTAGTGTGCACTGGGGCAGAACAGGAAGGGACAAAAAGGAGCAGTCAGGAAAACGAGGCCTGGGAGAGCTTGGTGGGGAAATTGAGAGGGGGAGGCCTGGTGCCTGGTGGTGGGGTAGGCTATGGGCCCCGCCCTGCTGGGTTCTTGATGGTGATTTGCTGTCATATATGCACAGGAATTGGGAGTGTGGAGTGGGGCCTCAGAATTGGGGTGCAGAGCCCTCAGGGACCGGGAGGCTTCTGGGGGATCAGTCTGAACTCTCACCTGAACTAGTGACCTTGATAAGCCTCAATGTTGTCTTTGTGAAATACTGATCTCACCTGCCTGCTGCCTGCCTCACAAGGTTGCTGAAAATGTTTAAAATGATAGGCCAAGCCCTTAATTCCTTAGAGATGTTCTTTGTTTTTTTTTTTTAAGATTTTATTGGAGAACTGGGGGAGGGGAACAGTGCTGGGAAATCAGGGGAAGGGGAACAAACAAGTTGCTGTCCTTTTGTTCTTCAGTCTAGTTGTGGAGAACGTTGCTTCACTGGCCCATGTTGGTATTATTATTGCGCTCTTCCTGGGTGAGGCAGATCGGTCACCGGCCTCTGGACAGCCGCTCACAGCGGCTCTTGGCAGCTCACACCAGCTGCTGGCCGCTCACGCTGGCTGCTGGCCACACATGGTAGCTTACGGCAGCCCACTGCAGCAGGGGCTGCAGCCTACGCCGTTGCTGGTGACTCACAGCAGCCCAGCTCCAGGTTGAGCTGTTGTTCACCATCTTACCTGTAGGGGCAGTGTCACTGGCCCTCATGTGGGATCCGAACCGGGGTCCTGCTGCTCAGAGCTGGCATCCCAAGCCAGCTCTTAACCAACGCGCCACTCGGCCAGCCCCATTCTCTGTTTTAAATGGAGAAAAATAGAATAAAATGAATGCCCATGTTCCTATCACCTAGTTTCAAAAATTAACCAAGTCATCCATCCAATCCATCCAACTGTTTGATTTATACCGCTCCCCCCCCCCCATATTTTGAAGGAAAGTACAGATGAAATCATTTTACACGGAGAGTTTTTATAGTATTGTTTTGTTTTGATGAATTAACAATGAGCAGTTGGAGCAGCAGAATTGAGGTGTTGATGGGGAACCTGGACTCAGCAGGCAGGTTTGAATATGCAGAAGGCAACCTGTTGTTTCTTTGACCAATTCTAGGTACTGGAACCAGCACAGGTTTTATTTAGCAGTGGTTTGCCCTGTTCAGAATTATTGTCACAGTAACTTCCTTTATGCTATACCTGTAACACTCTGTTTTCTTAAGCTTCTCTGCCTCCAATTTAGGGGCTGAGTTTTGTCCCCAAGAGGCCGGTAATGATAATACTCACTTGGGGTGAGAAACGTGGATGCCACTAATGTCTGTGTCTTTCTTCTGA